TTCTAGGTATTTTACTCTGATGTTATTGCGGATGGAATTGTTTTCTTAATTTCATTTTCAGGCTGTTTGTTGCTAATAAATATATATTTAAAATATATATAAATACAATTGATTTTTAAATATTGTGACCTTGTTAAACTCATTTATGAGTCCTAGTAGTTTTTTGTGAATTCCTAAGGCTCTTCTACATATAGGATGATGCCATCTGTGAATAAAGACAGTTTCACTTCTTCCTTTCCAGTCTGGATACCTTTAATTTCTTTTCTCCTCCCTCATTGCACCGACTAGAATCTTCAGTAAAGTGTTGAACAGAAGCAATGAGAGCAAACATTGTTGCCTTCTCCCCAACCTTAGAGAAAACCAATAAGTACATCTTAGCTGTGGGTGTTTGTAGAAGCACTTACCAGGTTGAGAAAATTCCCTTCTGTTCCTGATTTATAGAGAGTTTTTATCATGAATAGATGTTGGATTTTGTCAGATGCTTTTTCGGCATCTATTATGATGATCATGTGGGTTTTTTTTTCACCTGTTCTATTAATATAGTATATTACATTAATTGTTTCTCAAATGTTAAACCAATATTGCATTTCTTGCATAAATATCACTTGGTCATGGTGTATAATCCCTTTTGTACGTTGCTGAGTTTGGTTTGCTAATACTTTGCATCTGTGTTCTTGAGGGATATTGGTCTGGAGCAGGAGTTGGCAAATTTTTTCCGTAAATGGTAAATCTTTTTGGCTTTGTGGCTACACAGCCTCTGATGCAACTACCCAGCTGTGCTGTCACAGAGCAAAAGCAGTCACAGACTATGTGACTTTATTTCTGTATTTATGTAAAAGGAAACTTTATTTACAAAAGCAGGTGACAGGCCAGATTTGGTCTGACCCTTGGTCTGAGGTTTTCTTTTCATGTGATGTCTTTGTCTGGCTTTGGCATCAGCGTAAGACCAGCTTCACAGAATGAGTGAGGAAGTGCTCCCTACTCCTCTATTTTCTCAAAGCGTTTGTGAAGGATTCGTATGATTTCTTCTTTACGTATTTGATGGAATTCAGCAGTGAAGACGTCTAGCTCTGGGCTTTATTTTGAAGGAAGATTATTTATTTCTAATTCGATTTCTTTACTTGTTATATGTTTATTCAAATTTTCTCTTTCTTCTTGAGTAAGTTTCGATAATTTGTCTTTCTAGGAATTTGTCCATTTCCTAAGTTGTCTTATTTTTTGGCATAAAGTTGTTCATAATATTCCTTTATATTTCTTTTAGTTTCTGTAATTCTGATTTGGGGAATTTGTTGCTTCTCCCTTATTCTCTTGGTCAGTCTAGCTAGATTTTCCTGATGTAAAATGTCCTTCTTTGCTCTAGTAACATTTCTTGTTTTAAAATAAATTTTGTCTGATAGCAATATAGCCACTCCACATCTCTTATGGTTACTGTTTGCATTGATTCCAATTTTTTACTTTTTTTTTTGCTGAGGAAGATTAGGCTCCAGCTAACATCTGTTGCCAATCTTCCTCTTTTTTTGCTTGAGGAAGATTAGCCCTGAGTTAACATCTGTGCCAATCTTCCTCCACTTTATATGTGGGTCACCGCCACGGCATGGCTGATGAGTGGAGTATGTCTGCTCCTGGGATCCGAACCTGCAAACCTGGGCTGCCAAAGCAGAGCACACCAAACTTAACCACTATGCCATGGGGCTGGCCCCTCAATTTTTTACTTTCAACTTAGTTGTGTCTTTGAATCTAAGGTGTGTCTCTTACAGGAAGCATATATTTGGGTCTTGCTTTTTTTATCTGGTCTGACAATCTCTGCCTTTTGATTGAAGTGTTTTTTTCCATTTACACTTAATAACTTACATAAAATTATTCATATGGTTGGATTTACATCTGCCATTTTGCTATTGTTGTTTATTTGTCTCATTTCATGTCTTTTTTTGTTCCCCTGTTACTTCTTTACTGCCTTTTATTGTGTTAAATAAATATTTTTCAGCCCACTGTTTTGATTCCTCTGTTGATCTTTAAACTATTTTTTTGAGTTATTCTCTTAGTGGTTGATTTAGGGATTATAATGTGCATCTTAATTATCACAATCTATTTTAGAATAATACTAAGTATTTTCTATTTGATGAGTCATTGTTATCCTACAGTTTTCTAATTCTTTAAACATGGTTTCCTTTAGTTCTTCGAGTGTATTTATAATAGTTGTTTTGAAGTGTTTGTCTGCTAAAGCCGACATCTGGGGACACACAGAGACAGTTTCTATTGATTGCTTTTTTCCCTGAGGATATTTACATTTCTTTGTTTCTTTGCACATCTCACAATTTTTGTTGACTACTGGAAATTTTAGATAAAATTTGTAGCAACTCTGTATTCCAACTTTTTTTCTTCCTAATGATTGTTGTCCTTGTTACTGTTTTGCTTGGGTGTTTGCTAAGTTACTTCCCGGACTAAATCTGTCGAGTCGGTCTCCTCCACAACGTGCGGTTACTGATGTCTCTGTTCAATTTTTTTTCTCATTTTTATTTCTACACCTGGCTTCCTAGGGGTCACCCCTGTATCTGCATAGCTTAATATTCAGCCAAAAATTGGTCAGAGGTTGTGCTCTAACACTTTGAGCTAGTAAGGCTTCTCTTCTCTGTTGGCGAGTGCAGTCAATGTTCAGGTCATTTTCAAGTCTGCCTTGACTCTTAGTTTCTGCCGGACCCCCCTGTGTCTCCTCTGCTTGTCTACACAGGCTCCAATGGCCAGGGATGTGTAAGTGGCCTGGGCTGGTCTGGTCTCTACTACACATGTGCATAACCCCTGGCCAACCAGAATATGTAGAGAGCTTATCAAGCCCCCTATGGCTGCCTCACTTCCCAGGATTCTAAGCCGTCAGGCCACTGTTGTCCCCAAGTAGGACTGCAACTTTGGACTTCTGGAGCTGCTGGCCCTCCCTGATCTCTTGCCACCAAGACTGCCAGTTTAGCCAACAATGCTCCAAATCAAGTGAGCCCCATCAGACTGGTTTTCATGGGCTACTCGCCCTGGTTGAACTATTATGCAAATAGAACTGGGGGTGGGGAAATTGGAGAAGCCCCAGGTAAGTGCATCACAAACTTAAGGCTCAGAACTTTTCACGAATAAATGCTCTGTTTGTTGTATGCCTTTGGTTGATTTTCAGAGTGCTAATATAGCGCTAGATAGTTTTGTTCAGCTTCATAGTTGCTTTTTCTTTATTGTGGTAAAATATACATCATATAAAGTTTACCATTGTAACCATTTTAGGTGTACAGTTCAGTGGCATTAACATTGTTACATTCACATCTACGTGCAACCGTCACCACTGTCCATCTCCAGAACTTTTTCATCATCCCAAACTGAAACTCTGTACCCATTAAACACTAACTCTCCATTTCCCCCTCCCCTCAGCCCCTGTCAACCACTATTCTACTTTCTGTCTCTATGACTTTGACTAGTCTAGGTACCTTATATAAGTGGAATCATACAATATTTGTCATTTTGTGTCTGGCTTCTTTCACTCAGCATTATGTCTTCAAGGTTCATCCATGTTGTAGCATTTATCAGAATTTCATTCCTTTTAAAAGTTGAATAATATACCATTGTACGTATACCACATTTTAGTTATCCATTCATCCATCGATGGACTATAATTGCTTTTTGAGGAAAGGATTTGTCAACCTCCTCACTCCATCATTCTGGAAGTGAATCTCCACAGGTGTCACTTTACATTTATCTGTATATTATTTGACTAATGACTCTCTCCCACATTAGACAAACTCCATGGGGGGAGAAATAAAGTTTTTTATTGGTTGCTCTACCCTTGCACCCAGTAGTAGGCACTCAGTAAATACTTGTTGAATATATGAATATGTAAGATATGGAATACGATAACTCCCTTGGAATTGTTTTAAGCCAGAAGAGTCAAGGATGGGTGAGTTTTAGAAAAAAATTGCTACTATTAAATGAGCACTTACTACGTTGCTGGGCTCCATGCCAAGCTCTCCATTGCCTTACCTCATTCAGTCCTCACAACAAACCCTTTGTCTTAAGTATGTGCAACAAAATCACATTTTAAGGACAAGGGTGGGAGTTAAACTCTAAAGGCAAAAATTGGTATAATCAAAATGACCTAACTTTAACACTCACTCAAGTGAGATGCCTTTCACTGCACGCTCATGCTGGAACGTCTGGCCGTTGGGTAGAGTGGGAGGGGGCTTATAAACTACCCTCTCACCCCCACCACCTATGTTTGACTTGAAATTAGTTAACTATGATGCGACTCCATTTGACTAGTATCACCCACGTTTTACGGATGAGGAAGCGGGACCATGCAGTGGACACGCGGACGGGCAGGCGAGAGGCAGAGACACCGAAGAGGGTGTCCAGTGGTCCTCGCAGGCGGTCGAGGGGGAGGTCCAGACAGAGGCAGGGGCTGGAGAGCAGGGTCCTGGGGCGGGGACAGGATCGCCTTGCGGGCTACTGATTCTTCACGGAGCCAAAGGATAGCGGGTAGACCCCATTCCACATCTCCCCCTCATCTCTAGCCCTTCCCCACCTGGTCACTCACCTGCTCGCAGAGCTCCTGGTTTCTCTACTCACAGTTACCTCCGCGGTACCTGCGTTGCTAGGTTACCCACCTCGGAAGGCGGGACTCGGCGTCTGACTGACTTTCCTCTTCACCATTCAATTCCTTGTTCCGCCCAGTTCGCCCCACCTCCTGAGGCCTGACCAATCAGGAGTACCGTCTCTCTGACCCTCCAGCAATTGAAAGACCCGGGACGCCCTCTGGGTTGGGCCGAACGAGTAAGGCGGGGAGAGCAGAAGGGGAAGGGGCGGAGCTTCTTTGTCCCGCCCCTTTACAAGGAGGCGGGTAGGGAGTCCTGCCTCGGCAGCGGGCGAGAACTGGAGAAGGACGTGAGGCTTGGCCAATCAGAGTTCACCGTGGCAGCCTAGGTAGCCAATAGGCCGTGGCGGAGGGGAAATGGGGCGGGGCCTCTGGGGTTGAGGGGACGGTAGGAGGTGGACGCGAGAGCTGGCGCAGCTGCTGTGGTGGCAGCGGCTGAAGCGGCGGCGGCTGCAAGAGCTCCGGGCTCGCGGCTTTGGCGGCGGCGGCGGCGGCGGCGGCGCCGGCGGTCTGGGCTGCGCGGTGCGGACCCTGGCGCGCGGTCCGGGTTGCTGGGGCGGCGCGTGTAAGAATCCGAGGGGGACGGGGGCTGGGCTGCCTGAGAGGGCAGGGGTCAGGGGACAGAGGGCGCGGAGTAAGGGGTTGCGGCTGGGCGCTGGGGTGTGGGAGGCGGGCTGGGCGGGCCCAGAGGGGCTGCGGGGAAGTCATCGCTGGGCTTCTCTCGCTCCAGCCCGGGCCCGGGCTTTGTACCCCCTCTGCTCGCCCCCTGGCTTCCCGGGGCGACCCCCACGCGGGGCCCAGACCGGGGCTGGAGCACGTGGAGCCCGAGCCCGCACTTCTCTCCCCTCTCCTCCTCCCTCATCTGCTCCTCTTCCTGGCGCCCTCAGGCGACCCAGCCCGCCAGAGACTCGTGCCCCGGTCAGGCTGCTGGCCCTCTTTCCTGGGACGTGTCCCCAGGGGTGACCCTTCCCTTCTGGGTCCTCTAGAGAGCCAGAAGCAAAGCCCGCGGAAGGAACACGGGGCTGGGACTCAGGAGTCCTGCACTGTGTGACCTTGGTCAAGTGGCTTGTCCCCTCTGGGCCTCACTTTTCCCTCTCTGTAACACGATGGGCTTGAATTCAAATTGGGAGCCTGTTCCTGGGAGGTGGTATAGGGTCCAGCCGGGAAAGGTCCCTGAATTCATCTGTTCGGATTCGACTCTGGTTTCCACCACTTCCCTGCTGTTTACCTACAAGAGGCAAGTTGAGTTAACTCCTCCAAGCCTCAGCTTCCTCATCTGTAAAGTGGGGGATATTAATGAAATAGGATTTCTGAACAGCAGCACTACTGACGTTCTCAGCGACATGTTTCTGTGTTGTGGTGGGACTCACCTGTGCGTTGTAGGATGTTCCGCTGCGTTCCTGGCCTCTCCCTCTAACCCCCCCACCCCCAAGTTGTGACAATCAAAAATGTCTCCATATGTTGCTAGTGTCTCCCAGGGTACAAAATCACCCCAGTTGAGAGCCACAGGGCCAAGACAATGCATACAAGCAGTTATATATTAAACAGTTACAATGAAAGCCACTAGCCGTTATGATGATAATGATCAGAAACCTCTTCTTGAGTTCAGATGGTTAATAGAGTCCTCAAAATAAATTCGAGAAAGAATGACAAAGATATTGATAATTGTCAAAGCTGAGTGATGGATACAAAGAAATTCATTTACATGTTCTCTCTACTTCTGAGTATGTTTGAAAATACCTGTGGTAGAACGTTAAACCAAGAAAAAAAAAAAAAGCCCCAAAACACGTAATTCTTAAGACAGTCTAACGGTAGTGTCTCATTTGGGGTTTCCTCTTCTGTCTCCCCACAACTGAGATTTAAAAGCAGAATAGGTCCCCAGATCTGGAGGAAATGTTAAAAAATCTCACAGGAAGTTTGCGGGGCTGAGAGCTGCAGGCTTAGCAGTAAAGGGAATGGTGCTCACTTTTGCTACCTTGTTTTGAGAAGATGTTGATGCACAGGAGTCTGCTTGGGGTTATGCTGATGATTTGTGGAAGAGGTCAATTTCCAGGTGGCCATTCAGTGGGCGAGTTGGGAGGCAAAGTTGACTAAGCCCAGAAGGGTCCAGCTGGAGGAAGGAATGTGCTGCTGTTTTCAAGGTCAAAGGTCTGCTATCAGATCTGCTGAGTCTTTGCTTTTCTGTTGGCCCTCCTCAGCGGAAATGGGAATGTGTATAAATAGGACCTGTAACTGCCTAGTTCTGAGCGTTTTCAGTTGAGAGTTCAGGATGAGCGCTTTTGCTGTGTGACTCTGGACATCATTTAAAAAAACACTCTTGTTCTCTTCGCCCTCCTCCTCAAGCTTCTAAATCGAGGAGAACAACACCTATATGAGAAGGCTGTGGGCGAGCATAGATGACCTGGCACCCTGCCTCTTTACGGGTCATTGGGGCGAGGTGCTGCCTGAACGCCAGGGCTAGGACTTGGAGGAATCGTAGTGTAGTGGCTAGGAGCTCGGGTCTGGAGTCAGATTGCATAGTTCAAAGCCTGACTTTATAGCTGTGGGTTCTTGGGCAAGTTACTTAACTTCTCTGAGCCTAAAGTCTCCCCCTCTGTAATGGAGGATAATAATCCTACCTGTCTATTAATAAAGTTTCAATCAGCTTTACTTAAAAATTGCTGTAAGAATACCTGGTACACAGTAAGTGCTCACTGAGTGTTAGCTACTATTATTTTAATAGTTGTATTTTTTTAAGTCTCAAATCTTTACAGAACTCAAAACACCAGCATAAGGTGGTTGGAGGGGAACATAGCAGAATCTGAAGCCCCAGACATAATTACCCCTAACTTTCAGATTTTGTTCTTGCAGAGTTTTTCCCCATATTTGAATGCTATTATATTGCAATATTTTTCTTTATTTTTTGAGATATAATTCACATACCATAAAATCCACCAATTTAAAGGGTGCAATTCAGTGGTCTTTAGTATATTCACAAGGTTATGCAACCATCGCCACCATCTAATTCCAGAACATTTTCATCAGTAGTGGTTGTATTCTGATAATCGTCTCTCTTTCTTTTTCATCTGTATCTCTCTCTTTATCCCTGTCTATCTTTTATTGTCTAGAAGATGTCTCTAATGGAGGAGTTTCTGAGAAGCACCTCTGGGCCAGTGGCTTTGAAAGGGAGCTCCAAGCAGAGGCTGTTTGAAGCCCTGGACATCGCATCCTGAGGGCTGTAGGAGAAGAGAGCATGGCTGTGAGTTTGGATGACGACGTGCCCCTCATCCTGACCCTGGACGAGGGTGGCAGTGCCCCGCTGGCTCCGTCCAACAGCCTGGGCCGAGAGGAGCTGCCCAGCAGAAGTAAGACATGGGGTGGGCTGGTGGGGGGCAACTTTTCTATTTCAAGGGGCGAGTTGTGGGCGTGGTGGTCTGATAGTAGATGTGTGTACCCTAATTCCTGACCCCACATTTGGCCCCAGGTTCTCACAAACTACTGGGAGACTGTGGGGTCCTAATCCCAGCTTCTGGATGCTTCCGGGGGCTGCTCTGCCCTCCCGGGGCCCTCGCTCCCATCAGCGCCTTGCCTCCCTGGCACCTGAGTACTCTGGCTTTGTTCGGGGATGCTTGGCGGGGACTTCAGGTTAACCTGCTCCCAGGCTAGGTTCCTTGCCCAGGAACTTCCCTGCCCAGTTCCTTGTTAAAAAAGGAAACCGATTTCAACACCCGCCTCCGTCTGCCCCAACCTGAAACTGTTGGCAGGAGAGCGGAGTTGACTGCTGCTTTCCGTTGGAGCTTGGTGCCTGCGTTGCCAGAATGGGGTGGAAAGGGGCAAGCCTCTGCCAGGATCCATTGATTTGAGGGTTTGGGGTTTTGCTTTGTCTTCCTCTAAACCAAAGCCTAGCACAAAGGGAACCCAAGAGAGGTTGCGAGCTTTAAATTTTTAAAATTTTAAATGTGTTGCTGGAAGAACGAGAGGCCTTAAAAACCTTTCTGGTCTTTGTCCCGAAGCGGTTTGCTTCATTTGCTCAGGCCTTGGGCCCAGGAGAGGCTTAAAATAACTTTCCCTTTGTGGAGGGTCCTAAGATGGCAGGGACTGGTGCTTTGTGGTCTCCTTAGCCAATGGGTGTTCCACCCGCCCTGTGCTCCGGAGCTAGGACAGAGGGGTATTGCCCTCCTCCAGTTCACAAGTGAAGACACTGGGTGCGGGGAAAGACGAGCCTGGCTCTGCCGTCTCCTTTGTCCGGAGAGAACACAGTTGGGTACCGGAGCTCAGCAGCCTCCCCTCAGAAGTGATGAAGGAGAGCAGTGTTGCTGTAGATGGGAGTGCAGCGGGCGGCCTGGCTCCCTGTAGCCTGGCCTCTCCCCTGCCGTTCACCCTGTCTAGGGCGGCAGAGCTGGTGGTCCAGGAAGGTTAGAATGTAAACCAGATTTTTCTCTAAGCACCATTCAGGGCTGAGAAACCAGTGGCTCTGATTTCAGGCACACTTCTTAAATGCCCTAGAGCTCTCAAGCTAAGTGGTAGGCTCTTTCTCATCTGTTACCTTCACTAAGATCCTTTTCAAAGTAGGCGGTATTATCCCTGTTTTACAGAGGAGGAGACTAAGTCAGAGAGGTTAAGTAACTTGCCCAAGGTCACACAGCCAAGCACGTGGTTGAGCAGAGATTTGAACCCAGGTCTGTCTGACTCCAAAGTTCCTTCCCTTCCTCCTCCTCCCTTTTTTCCTCTCCTCTCCTCCCTCTCCTTTTCCCACTTCTCCTTTTTGCTCCACAAGTCTTTAATAAATGTGAATGCTGGCCCGTGGTATTTGCATATATTATCTCATCATATAACCTCAAGAGAGAGTTATTGTTATTATCTCCAGTTTACAGAGGAAGAATCAGCCACAGAGAGGTTAAGGAACTTGTCCACGATCACACAACCAGTAAGCAGTAATGCCTCTCACTCTCCGCTCTCATGCCACCGTGTAAAGTGCTTTGGGGAAAGGGATGTAAAGGCGGGTGCGTCCAGGGCCAACAAGGGAATGGATGGAAAGGGAGGGTGGTTGGCATACTCAGAGTGTGGATCATTCTGGAAATAGCCAGGCTCAAGAGTCTAAATTAGAATCCTGGCCATTGTCGTGGGTGCCACTTTCAAGTCCTTGCAGAGTATCAGAGCTGATGGCAGGGCATCCAGCTCTCCTGCGGGATGAAAGTGGGAAGGGCAGCTAGTTCTGTGTCAGGATCAGGTTTTGAACTGTTGATGGAGCTTGATGAGTGGGAAGTAGGCCAACTAGCCAATGAAACCAGCCTTGGACAGGCCACCAGTGAGGCTGTTCTTATCTTGGCGAAGTTGGGGACTTATTTTGGTTTGTTTCTTAAGAAAAGAGAAATATGAAACTGACAGAGTCCAGGGAAGTTGTGCTTTTGGCGCCAAAGTGTGTTAGCGCCTCAGTTTCCTCTCTCACCCTCTTCCTGGGTCATTTGCTGAAACCTCTAAGAACTAATGGGTGTGATCCAGGGAGCCCGGCTGGGAAAACCGTGGGGCCTCTCTGAGGAAAGGAGATTCCAGAGGAGGCCTGCTCTGCCTTATGTAGGCCTTCGTCCTTTCACGCTTGGATTTTGGCGTTGACCTTCCACCCAAGGTCCCCTGTCCCTGCTGCCTGAACGGTCTGTCTAAAACACAAATCTGACCTGGCCATTTCCCTGGCTTGAAGCTCCCCAGGACCTTCCCATCCCCTAGAGGATGCAGGTCAGGCTCCTTAGCTGTGAACGAGGCCTTGTGTGTTCTAGCGCCTTCTTGCCTGACCAGTCCCGTTTCCTGTCTTAGCCCACGACGCCACACCGCTTCTAGTTCTGTGAATCCCTGGTGCATTCTTGTGTGTGTATGTGTGTGTGAGGAAGATCAGCCCTGAGCTAACATCCATGCTAATCCTCCTCTTTTTGCTGAGGAAGACCGGCTCTGAGCTAACATCTATTGCCAATCCTCCTCCTTTTTCTCCCTAAAGCTCCAGTAGATAGTTGTATATCATAGCTGCACATCCTTCTAGTTGCTGTATGTGGGACGCGGCCTCAGCATGGCCGGAGAAGCGGTGCGTCGGTGCGCGCCCAGGATCCGAACCCTGGCTGCCAGCAGCAGAGCGCGTGCACTTAACTGCTAAGCTACGGGGCCGGCCCCCTGGTGCATTCTTAGAGCTTTCCGCCTGGCTGGTGACTCTGGAGTGCTTTCCCAGCCTCTTGTTTGCTCATGAGCTCCAGTTTCGTCTTGAAAATCCTGCTGATAATCCCATCTCTTTGAAGCTTTCACTGAACACCCTCCTTCCTGACAGGGCTACTCACTGCCCTTTTCTGTGCTGGTATCTGGATTCCATTATTACAAGTAGCTTACTGTGTGGTAATTACTAGGCCCTGAGTTCCATTCATCTTCGAATCTCCTGGCTATGTCTGCAATAGAAGGTACTCAAGAAACCATGGTTGAAATAAATCTAGTTGGGTTTCTGGGGCCTTGTAGCTCCCGGGAGTGGTTGTCTGTGGAGCCTGTTGGAGGTGGGCAGCATCTCCTCCTGGCTCTCCTCCTAAGCAGTGGTTTGAGTCTCGTTTCTCCCAACCCAGCTGATTGTCCTGGAGTTGCCGTCATCACCCCAGTCTGGGGCTGATGCAAACCACTGAGGTATTAAGGAGTTGGCAGAATGCACACAGAGGCCTTCAGCAGGGTTGGCAGCTACAAGGGCATGAGCCATTGAGAGCTAAGCCAGCTTTCTAAGGGCGTGAGCCTTGATCGAGCCTGGGCCTCCGCCCTGGCCAGCAGCTGTGGCCAATGCCTTCCTCTGGCTCTGTATCTACATACTCCTTGCCGTAGTGTGCTCGGACTGCCATGACAAAACACCACAGACCGGGGGCTTAAGCAACAGAAATTTATTGTTCCAGTTCCGGAGGCTGGAAGCCCAAGATCAAGGTGTCAGCAGGGTTGGTTTCTTCTGAGACCTCTCTCCTTGACCTGTAGACGGCCGCCTTCTCACTGTATCCTCACATGCTCATCCCTCAGTCTGTGTCCTAATCTCTTCTTATAAGGAAACCAGTCAGATTGGATTAGGGCCCACCCATATGACCTCATTTTACCTGAATTAGCTCTTTAAAATCTCTGTCTCCAAATTCAGCCACATTCTGAGGTCCTGGGGGTAGGACTTCTACATAGGAATTTAGGGGGACACAATTCAGCCGATAACACGCCTGCCCTTTCCTCAGAGGCAGGTACCCAGGAACCTGGCTGTGCTGCCTATGACCTTTGGCCCTGTGCTAGGGATGACCTATGCTGGGGCATTATCCCTGCAGGAAACTGGAGGGTTTGGATTTTTTTTCCTTATATGGGCGAGGATGGATTTTATCCAAGACTCAGACATCTCTGGGCTATAAGAGTGGCTGCCGAAATGCTAATGAGTGACTCACCGGCAGAAGATGTCAGGTTGATAAAGGAGGCAGGTATGAGCAGAGGTATTTGAAGCCTGGGAATTAGGAATAACCTTGAGAACAGTTGGTGGGGCTGGCGTTTGACAGTGCGGTCTAGAGATAGCCCACAGTCTGCACTGCACATCAGGCTGTGGTCCAGACCGCCACTAGACCGTGGAGTCTGAACGTTGCGGGCAATACAGGGGATTTTCCAGGGGAATTAATGGTCGCACTCAACTTTTGCCTTTTCGTTGCCTTTAAACCCAACAGCTGCCTAAGATGGGCCTGCAGTGTTTGCCTTTTCTGGGTGAAAGAAGGATTAGGGGCACAGGAGGTGGCTGAGGCTTCAATAGGGCACTTAGTCTCATGGGCTCCTTTGGTGCTGGTTCGTGGTTTCCAGGTGACAGGCCGTGCAGAGGTAAGGCCTAAGGTAACAGAGCAGAGGAGCCCCCTCCTCCTCACCCTGATGCCCAGTACACCATCGGGAGTTACCTAGGACCCATTGCAGTGTCTCGCAATGCGGAGGGCCACAGTCTTCATGCAGCCAGAGCCAGCTGGTACCAGGCTCAGTCCAGGTGGGCCAGAGTTGTCGGCCTTAGCGCAGGTGTAGCCAAGATGAGCAGGGAAAGAGCAGTGGGGCTGTAGACCCAAAGATGGTGAACCCCAAGGTGGGCTGTCCATCGCAGAGATCTGTGCCCGTGGTTCTTTCTCTGACCAAGCATCTCCGTGTATTTGCCAAAGAGGGAAGCCCAAGGGACTTGCCTAGCTTCTGTCACTTGTGATACCCTGGGTGGTGGAGTGGTTAAGCATGCAGGCTCTGGAGTCAAGCTCCAGGCTTCCAATCCTAGCTGGGTACGGGGCTTAGCTTCTCCAAGCCTCAGCCTCCTCGTCTGTAGAGTGGGAGCATGATAGCATCTCCCAGTAGAGTTGTTGGGATT